AATTGCAGCTGATCTCCAGACTACAGAGTTCAGTTCCCCCGGAGAGAATGGCTGCTTTTGAAGATGGACTCTATGGCATCGTACCCCTGTACCCCTCTGAGGTCCCTGCTCTCCCCAGGCTCCACCCCCCCAAATCTTCAGAAGTTTAACAACCTGGATCTAGCAACCCTGTGCTCCCTGTCGCCTGCTGGTGGCCGGGGGGGGGGATGACTTGGCAACCCTAAGAGGAAAATAAAAGATAGGGGGAATGGTTACATTGAGAGTAGTGCAAAACCATGCTTCTGACTCGCAGTGTTCCCTCTAAGCTGAGTTAGTGTGAGTGAGCTCACGGCTTTTTAGCCTCCGGCTCACACAGTTCTGTCTTAACTCAGGAAGGATAGCTCCAGAGGAAACTAGTTCAAGCAGCAGCCAAATCGCTCGCTCACAACTTTAATGCTAGTAGCTCACAAAGTAGAATTTTTGCTCACAGGACTCCACAGCTTAGAGGGAGCGGTGCTTCTGAGTAAGATGGATCACATATGCTTGCGTGTGATACCTTTGGGGTTACCGGTTTAATATTTTATCACTATTGACTGTCCTTTACCATTCTTAGAACTTCTGTAGCGTTCTTCAGTTCTAGAAGTCTGCACGTTTCTTCTTGTCTTGGTAGTCAGCCTGTATGTAAAGGGTGAATGCTTCTTTTGATCTTTTCTTTCTTTCCTGTTGCTGACCCGAGAGTGTTGATGGAGGGGCATAATCGAGCAAGGCTTGCCAGAGCTTCTGTTTGATTAGTCTTTATTAGACCTTTCCTAACAGTTCTGCTTGTGTCTTGGTTTTCACAGTAGTGGCAAAGTCGTGTTAACGAACTCAGAAGTTCAGGTCATCCCAAGTGGAATTAGGGAAGGAAAAAGGTAGACACACCACTGGAGCCGCTTTCTTTGGTGTTTCTGGGTCCGCATGACCCGTCAGTTGGTAGGAAGGGACTCAGATCCCCCTGTCCTCTGAAACCTCTTTGCACTTTGGGCTGTTTGGGTGTACCCTTAAAATTGTGGGAATGTGACAGCCAGGTGTTAAGAAGCACCTGTGTCATACAGGGTGGCTGTGAGAATGAAATGAAGAAATGGAGACTGTTGTGAGCCGCTTTGGGTCCCCACTGTGGAGAAAAACAGGATATAAATAAAATCTGTCAATCAATACAGGTGTGCTTAAGCAAGATTGGTCGTGGCTTCCTGCTGTGCTATGACAAACCTGTGTGAAACAGCTGGCTCTGAGTGAGTTCCTCTGTCTCGGGCTAGGAGGGATAAGTGAGAAGAAAATCAACACTTCTGTGCATTGAACAGGCTTGTACGGATGGGAAAAGTTGTTTAGTACAGGCGCTATCCTTTCTTTAGCCTTTAACTGTAGTCAAGCGATGGTACTAAAATACTTCTTTCCAGGGTCATAAAGGAACATGTGCTTAAGACTGAAAAATAAAGCTTTTTGGGGGGGCTGAGTCAGCTTGGGCAAATTTTATATAAATTTGCATGCAGGAGGATATCTGTGGTTAATGTTTTAATATTCCATCGGCTATGGAAAAACTGGTTTCGTTTATCTTGTGTAAATGTGTTCTTTACAGTTCTCCTGCTGTTCACACACAGCAGGGCTCTGGAAAGGTACTCAGAACTGACGAGTAATATTTTTTGAAAAAAATTCATGTCAAGGGCCCGGCACTCTCCTCTCTCTGGCCACTTCTGCACTGTCATTTTTTGTCACTTGTTTGTCCCTATTGCTTCAGGGTCCCCCGTCCCCCCAATGTGTTTTGCTCTCTAGTAGTTCCAGAGGAAGTAAAGCACATGTGGGAAAGGGGGGGGGATGGACGACCCAAAGCAATAGGCACAAAAGAGTGACAAAAATGACAGTGCGGAAGCGGCCTTTGACTGTGCCCTGAATTGGAGAAGAGAATTACAGTATATTGTCTTTTTATTCGAGGGCTCAGCATGATGTTACAGAGCCCCAGCCCTACGGAAGACAGTATGACACCACGGTCAGTGGTCTCCACAAATACTGGCAGGATATCAAGCCATGCCAAAATTTGTGGACCCCTCCTTCTGAAGGATAAAAACTGACCTTCCTAATCCCCTCCCTCCCAAGGGGTTTCTCCTTTTAGTCACCAGCATAATCCCGCTGCGGCCCATTCGCTCTGCCATCCTAAACAGACTTGCACGCTTCTAAGCTGTTGACTTTCAGTAGATGTAACTCTGTAACTCTGCTAAGGATGGCACTGTTATTCACTCCTAAGGAGAGTCTGCTTTTTAGAGACCAGAAAGTACATGGCTCTTTTAAAAGCCATGCTAACAGAAAACAAGGAAGCGCAGAACTCCTCTTACATTGGGGAAAAAAATGTCTTCTAGGGAAGTCTTTGTGGTCTTAATAGTATGTGGTTATCCAGAGTCCTTCTTTCTTCTAGAAAAATTTACCTCTGTTCATAACTATGCTTTCTTGCAAGCTGCTAGCAGCAGTACCCCAGGGGGTAGGAAAGTAGTTGCTGTTGAACTGTTGTGCACTGCAGCAAAAACATCTGTATTTACCTGTAGCAGCTCTTCACAACAGGTGAGCGAGCTCTTTCCAATGGCCTCCTCCAACAGCCAGCCCTAGCAACTAGAGAAGCCGCCCATCTGCTTTGTTAGCTGCACTCAGCTCATGGCAAATAACCTTCCGGTCTGTTTATCCAAGGGTAAGAAGATAAAAAGGGGACGGTTCCAAGAAGCGCACTGCTTGGATAAAAGCTTATCTTTGGTGCATGGGGACTGCCTTTTGTTGGATAGTGGAGGCTCTTAAGCTGGGCTTGCCACAAACATCCAGAAGTAGAGTTGAATTGTCTCATTCGTCGTCTCCCCCCCCCCCCTTTTGACATGTTTAAGCCAAGAAGATCCTACTGGATTTTAGGTTTTGGTGGTTTTCCAGGAAATTATAAAACCGGGTCTTGCCATGTGGGAGCTGGTGTTCAGAAGAAAGCCTGCCCTCTCAAACTGATAGTTAAGTAACTCTGGAGGTGAATTCTACGACATCAAAACCATGTATGAGGCAAAATGATTGGATTCTAAAACGTCACTTTTTTATTCTCTTCAGCTGTGTGTCCACACAGTAAAACTGCTGTATTATACTTTCTTACCTTAACAGAAAGACTTGCATTGATCTGACGTTAAGGTCCATTCTACCTACTTAGATTGGATAAGTGGAGTTGTTGTTGCTAAAACCCTTAGCAGCGTCTTGAGCATTAATTGCTGAATGTTTAGCTTATTAAGATTAGAAGTGGTACGCTTTTACGTGTGCATGTTCTTATTAGGGAGCCTGCCCTTTAAGCCTTTTTGCACTGCATGAGTAGTTGTGATCCTTTTTCCTTATAAACAAAATGTGACTTAAACACGAAAAGGGTATTTTGAGGGCACGGCTGAAGCGTCGACAACTGTGGGAACAGGGTCAGAAATGCTTGCGTGTGATACCTTTGGGGTTACCGATTTAACATTTTCTCACTATTGACCTTTACCATTCTTAGAACTTCCGTAGCGTTCTTCAGTTCTAGAAGTCTGCACGTTTCTTCTTGTCTTGGTAGTCAGCCTGTATCTGTCCTTCTCTCCATACCCTCCTTCAAGCCCTTTGCTTGGAAGAGGGTTTCTGATGCCTGGCTTGACTCTGGAGCACATTTGCTTCTGCCTGTTTTAAAGTTTTCTGAGGAATAAGATTCCTTCAGAATTCTTCAGCATCTGGGAGGGGCCGTGGCTCAGGGACAGAGCCTCTCTTTGGCATGCAGAAGTTCCTAGGTTCAGTCCCCAACCTCTCCCGTTGAAAGGGACCAGGTGATGTGAACGGCCGTCACCTGAGACCCTGGAAACCTGTCACCAGCCTTAGTAGACAGTACTGACCTTGATGGACCAATGGTCTGATTCAGTATAAGGCAGCTTCATATGCTATTATTCATATGTTCTCTGCAGTGGGTTGCTGTACTGCTGGGCATACATACATTTCAGTTGGTTTAGACTTGAAAAGCTGTTCTTAAATCTGTTCTATTAATCTTAGAATGACCACCTATATTAGATTGGGCTGAGTGGGGATGATTCGCCTGGCTTGCGTTAATTTGAATCTGCCTCTTCCAGTCCCTACAGTCCTGGCCTTGTAGCCAGCTCCTTTGCTGTGTCATAGAATCACAGAATCATAGAGTTGGAAGGTACCTCCATGGTCATCTAATCCAACCCCTTGCACAATGCAGGAAATTCACAAATAACCTCCACCCCACACACACACCCCAGGGACCGCTGGCCCATGCCCAGATGATGACAAAAAACCTCCAGGATCTCCAGCCAAACTGGCCTGGAGAACAATTGCTTCCTGACCCCAAAGTGGCGATCAGTATTTCCCTGGGCGTGTAAGAAAGGGCCACAAGAACTAAGCACTGATGCAACCCTTCCTGCCCTCCCTCCCATGATCTGCCTGAGTTCACAGAAACAGGCATTGCTGCTTGGTGTGAACCCCAAGACGGCACAGTGATGTCCTGCAAATGACATTCTCTGCTAATGGGTTAATAGTAGTTTCCACCAGGCCATCCCTCCCTTTTATATTTCCCTGAGGCAATTACGTGGATGGGGTCGTAAGAATACTATTGCGACAATGAGATATGACAGCATACAAAATTGTCCAAACATTATTTTCTGCTTCTTTTCAAGCAGAGTTATGTTGGTTGTGCGTGAATGAGTGAATGTGCGGAATGATTCTGCAGTGGGAATATGGAACGGGAACATCTTGTTTAGTTTTCCTGGCTTTTAGAGACAGTGCTTATTAGCTTTAAGGGTGAGCTGGCTCTGTCAAGATGTTACCCCCCACATTTTTTTTCGCTTGGGGTAATTGGGCTTCATAGTTTTGAAACATTAAACAGGTCAGTACTTCGGCAATCCGTTGAACGAATGGTTGGTAAGAGCAGCACAGCTTCCAGTTCCTTCAGTGAAGTGTCGTGTTGAAGTGGCTGAACGCATCTTTCCCCCCCACAGCTAAGAAGAAGAACAAGAAGGGGAAGACCCTGACTCTGACAGACTTTCTGGCCGAGGATGGTGGTGGTGGCGGTGGTGGTGGTGGCGGCGGTGGTGGTGGCCCCACCTATATTCCAAAACCAGTCAGCTGGGCAGATGAGACAGACGACCTGGAAGGAGATGGTAAGATGGCAACTTCCTTGTCCTTGTCAGGGCTTGTCTTCTGATGACTAGATTCTACATATTAGCGGGAGGGAGGGGAACCCTGCAACTTTAAAAATAAGAGGAAAATAGCAACTTCTTACTCCACTGGTTTTTCTGTCTAAACATTCTGGCATCCGTCAAGAGCCCCTGGTAAAAGGGCAGGAGCTCCCCTTGACTTTGCGCAGGGCATTGGAGTTGCTTGAAAGGCAGTAGGATGTTTCAACTGCTGAGAGTCTCCGAAGTCAGCGCAAAGTCAGAGAGAGCCCCCGTGTTTTCCCCTCAGGTTCCAGAAAAGGCTTAAAGGGCCCTTGCTAGATTTCCCCCCAAAAATGCACAGGCTAGTGTAGAGATGTAAAATTTCTGGAAATTTTGAAGCTCGGAAAAAACCCCTTTTTCCCCCGGTTTTTTTCGGCGGGAAACGGAAATTTTTGGAAAAATTGAAAAAAAATGCTACATTAGCATTTCTTTTGTCTTTTCTAGATTGAATGTCATTCTGTTACTTTAGGAACATAAAATATGACTATGGACATTTTGACTTGGCATGAAATTATCACAACTAGCATATTAAAATATAGTGTATCCAAACAATTATTACAAACAGAATACCCACCCACATGCAAAAACAAAACTGAAACTTTTATTTTCTTCTGACAATTGCACCTCCTAAAGGAAGAAATGCATCTTCTTCTTGCATTGGAGAGTTCAGTTTGTAACCTAGGACTTGCTTGTCCTCAGTGCACAGAAATTAGATCAATCTGATACTATATATATTAGAAATTATTTGGAAAATATTTGAACACCTTGTCTTAAAATATTTTATTCATCATGTTAAAATAAAATGTTCCATAATCAATTTTTTTCTTTTCTTTTTTCAATTTTTCGGGAAAAAACAAAAAGGCTTCAGGAAAAAACGGTTCCCCCCCGAATTTTTCCGGTTTTTTTCCGGGCCTTCACATCTCTAGGCTAGTGTTGCGCTGACAAACACAGTTACATGTGCCCATGGGAATTAATTCCTTTAATAAGCTTTGTGCTCTTGGTGGGCTTAAAAATGCCCTGTATTCCTGGTTCCATTCATTTTTCTAAGAAGCAGCCGAAACGATCAGTTAAGCTCTGACTCTGTTGAGCGAAAGGCAAGGCGTGGCCCTGGTTCAAACATAGTGGTGGCCCCTTTGTGCAGAGAGGGCTGATGTTGGCCTAGGCAGGCTTTCATTTTAATTTTTGTAGTCCATCCACTTCCCGAGCCGATTTTGTATCACCAACCGTGTTGACTAGCAAATAAATGGAGTCTTTATTCTGTTAGAGTTGAATACAAACCCCAATCATGCTGCTCACTTGCAGCGCTCAGTTACATGGCTGTTTAGATATGGTGCAAGAACACTGAGCAAGATCACTTAGGTGGAGGTGTTTGCTCTCTCCGCAGGCCAAAATCTAGCTCTCCCAAATTCCAAGAACCAAGAAACAAAACTGTTTCTTTAAAATAGAAAGTAGATGTCCATAATATTTGGTTGCTGAGGTAATAATAAAAACATTTTGTCATAATGAAATGTGTGATTTACTGAGACTTTTACAATTAAGTCGAATACATTGCTGTTTTGTATTAGAAATGCAAGCGGAGTGTGCATGGTTATGTATCCAGTCCTAATCAATTAATGTAGACTACCTCCTGGTTGTACCAAACTCAGATTCATTTTAAAGTGGGCTGTTAAAAATGACACTTAACTGAAATTTTGAAACCCAGAGTAATATGTATCTTTTGAAAAATGACTTTTGTGCATTCTGCTCTCACGCAGTCCCCTTCAGAGCATGCAGGGATACTTCTTGGTTTCATTTACACTGAAACCATTTGTATAAATCAAAGATGTGAAGACATGGGGAAGGGGGGGTTGAAATAAAAAACTTGAGTCCCCCACACTGCTACCAAGGATCGTTTGGAAAAACTGGAAATTTAAGGGAGCACCAACCCCCGCCCCCTTTAACAATTCTTACTCCACTGGATTTTTATTCCCTTTATTTAAAATGAAAGAATCATTTTTCAGTACAAGGTTTTACTCGCACAAAATGTATAGTATGAAGGTTTTTTTATGCAGGACAGTATACTGCAGTAGAGAATAGTTCCTACCAGTGTTCCCTCTAAGCTGAGTTAGAGTGAGCTAGCTCACAGTTTTTTACCCTCCGGCTCACACATTTTTGTCTTCGCTCACAAAACATGGCTCTGGAGCAAACTAGTTTATGCAGTAGCTAAATCACTCGCTCACAACTTTAATGTCAGTAGCTCACAAAGTAGAATTTTTGCTCCCAAGACTCCACAGCTTAGAGGGAACGTTGCGTTCCTACCAATGATCCCTCTAAGCTGTGGAGTCTTGTGAGCACAAATTCTACTTTGTGAGCTACTGGCGTTAAAGTTGTGAGTGAGCAATTTTGCTACTGCATCAGTTAGCTTGCTCTGGAGCCATCCTTCCTGAGCTAAGACAAAAATGTGTGAGCCGGAGGGTAAAAAACTGAGCTAGCTCACACTAACTCAGCTTAGAGAGAACACTGGTTGCTACATATACTGTAGACATATTCAACAGTCAGATCCAACATGGATTTCTTCAACAAAGAGGGTGCTGCCATCTTTATGGGAGAAACACCTTTTTTGCAGGTGAATTGCTCTTTGCCTTCCTCTGGTGACCGTTAAAACCAAGATGCGTATGCCGAGGTAGCATAGAGTGCAGCGGTTTGCAACCCTGTCTCTTTAGTAGTCTGTATATTCGCAGTGTTTCTTGTAGAAAATTAAGGTGTGCACACTTTTATGTTTCGTACATATGCCAAGCAGCACAGTTGTATATGCTGTGATAAGTGATGCCTCTTACATTAAAGTTTAAGGTTGATGAGACAGTAAGTATTGCACATGCCGTATATGGTTCATGGTTCTGTTTTTCTGGGGGAGAAAACAGCCCCTTCCCCCCCAACCGTGCTTCAGAATTCCAAAAAATGTAGTGAAGTGGTCGCCTGGTGGTGGTGGAGTGTCCCACTTTTATATGGCTACAGCAGACTGAGCAAGTAATAAGTCTGTGCATGCACTTGGGAGGGTGCCGATTTTTTTCAGAAATGGTGCCCTGTGTGAGCCTGACTTGGCAACTCTGCCAGCTGTAGCACTTTCCCCTCCAGTATGTACATATCAGGGGCATTGTTACAGACCCCTTAAATATGCCACGTGTTAATAGGGAGCTAGCTCTGCAATTAGTTGGCCTCCTTATATCCGTATGGCATCCTCCATTTCTGCTGCTTTCCCATTAAATGGATGGCCCAGGGCCAGTCCCTATTGTATTGTGTTTTTATGATGTGTAAGGAGAGGTGCTCAGAGGGAAGCTGCTTATAAATTGGCCCAGTAGTTCAGTGGGCTGTATAGCAAGGAGATTGTGTGCAAAGACAGTCCTGTTTCTTGAACAACCTTTGAGTTGCCTGTTCCCATTATGCTGCTCGCCCAGTGAATTGTAGGCTGCCTGACAGTTTAGAGTGGGTCTGCAAATGCCTGGTTTCCCTCAGTATATAACGTGATGCACAAAACTTCCTTCCTAGTTTCCACCACCTGGCATAGCAACGATGATGACATGTACCGAGCCCCTCCGATTGACCGTTCCATCCTGCCCACTGCACCCCGGGCAGCTCGGGAGCCCAATATTGACAGAAGCCGTCTCCCAAAATCACCCCCCTACACTGCCTTTCTGGGAAACTTGCCCTATGATGTAACAGAAGATTCTATCAAGGAGTTTTTCAGAGGACTTAATGTGAGTATTTAAAGGGGCGGTTTGAATTTTCCCTTTGTGATGTATTCCCTTTTGGAATTAGGCGGAAGACATTGACTTGGTGGATCCTGAGAAATGGCACTGTAGTACCCTGAGAATCTCAAGCCCGTGTTGCACATCCTTTTGGGGGGGCTGGATTAGCATTCATCTTCGTGAATAGCATCAGTGTCTTTAGATGAGTGCAGATTTTGTCCGGAGGGGGAAAAGAGACAGGTGCTTCTAGGACAAGCCCCTGGAATGGCTTCCAGTTATATGTAGATCAAGATGGGTAGCTGTCTTAGTCTGTTCGCACCAGGAGAAGAGAACAAGAGTCCAGCAGCACTCTAAAGGCTAACAAAATTTATGGCAGGGTATGAGCTTTTGTGAGTCACTGCTCTGTATCTGAAGAAGTGAGCAGTGACTCACAAAAGCGCCTCCCCTGCCACAGACTTTGTTAGTCTTTTAAGGTGCTACTGGACTCTTAGCTCTTTTCTACTGCTACAGTTGCATGTAGAGTTTCCAGGCTTTTTCTGCAGAGTACGTCATGCTGTTGCGCTGTCAAGTACCTTAAAATATTGGCGTAACTCCAAAGAGCCCGTTATAACAGGACCGTGGACTCTGACATTATTTCTTGATCCAAAAAAAGCCAACCCCAGCTCAAAAACCAGAGGGCAAACACAATCTGTAATGCACTGTTTGTAAATAGTGCTGGGCAAAGTAAGGGCTGCAAAACAGGAGGCACCACTTACCATTACATTTCATGAAGTCGGCTGAGTCGTCTTGACCGTGGTGCTTGTTCACTGTGGCCTAACTTCTTTTTTCTGATTCACAACTGAAGTTGTACCTTGGGGATGTGAATGCCCAGAAAAGAACCTGGGAAAGTTTTTTTGGGGGGGACAAATTTTCCCCCACCTTTTCCCAAGGCCTTTTCCTGTTTTTCTGATGGGGAAATCGGAAATTTGGGGGGATACTGGGGGGAAAAATCCTCCTATGAAGTATTTTTTTAATAGAATGAGTGATGCTTTTAAAGACAAGGTGGACACGCTTTAGACAGATGGCTTTGAAGTCCAATATATATTTCTGTACCTAGAAGTAAGCCTAATCTTCATGAAGAGCGCATGCAGGACTTTCATTGCTTGTTAACTGTTGCGTGGCTTCTGTTGTCCTTTTGACCTGATTTCTTCTGTTAAACCACTGTGACACATATACACACAGACTGGGCACAAGCAGCTTATTGCCCTGCCTTGCTGGGGGTGGGGGGGGAGATCAGAGAGAGGTGGGGGAGCAGAAACTGCACCAAAGCTTCCAGAGTAAACGCTGAAAGTTCCATTGAGAACTGAGCTCTCTCTAACCAGATAGCAAAAACTAAGATACATGTGCTTAAGGCAGCACAGGGTGCGTCAGGTTGCAGTTTTCTTTCAAGTATGGGGTTGCTTGAGAACTGGCCAGCATAGCAGGCTAGGGGGGAAGGAGGCACCCGAAAATGACATCTTTTGGCAGTGCTTGCTGTCAGAAGTCCAGCAAGGCATCTGCTGAGGAGGTGGGAGTGGGGGGCACATGTGCCAAGAGACAAAGTGATATGGTTAGTGAGTCGTAGAAGTAGTTTGCCCTTTGAGTGATGCTCGATAACTGAGCGTTCTGAATAATCGTTTGACAGATAACAAAGCTTTTCCTGTACCTAATCCTTACTGAGTGATGAAGCTCACTGGATTGGTGATTGCTAGGCGTAAACTACCTTTAAAAGGTTACATAGGTCCCCATCACACGGTGAATTTGCTGTGGGAGAGCAACGAGTGGTGGGCGGATTATCGGGGTGCGATCACATCGCAGCATCTGGCAAGTGGAGCGCACCCGTGGCCTACCGCCGAAAAAGCGCAATTAAAAAAACAGTACGTCGTATGTAGTGGCAGACGGTTTGCCACGGGCTGCCTCCGGACTCCTGCGGTGTGATCGCGCCGGCCCCTCGTTAATGCGCAGGCGGGGAGGACAGGACCCGTGGTTTGCCGCCGACGCGTCAGATCGCGTTCTGGTGGCTCTAATTGCACCGGAGCAATTAGCCATGCCTCCCCCCCCCCGGCGTTATCCGGCTCGTGTGACCGGGGCCTACTTGTAAATAACAACAACAAAACACAACCCTTGTGAGCTGCTTGCAGGAGAGTTACAACACCCAGTAGCAGTTTCCCACCTGGAGAGTTGTTTTGTGCATAAGTCCTAATCAAGTAGGTAGAAAAGAAGGGCGTTGATGTAGTTTTAAAATTTACTACACATACTGGATTGGATCCAGGAAGGGTTTCCAGCAGCGGAGCGCAACCTCTTCAGCTTCCACCCTGCCATAGAAGCCCCAAATGCTTCCTGAAATGCTGCTCCTGGCAGATGGGGACCCATAAGAATAAAATGAGGGGTGGAAGTTGGAGATCAGGGAGGGATTGGAGAAAATCCCTCCTCCCTCCATCCATGGAACTTTTCTGTGGTGTCCAGCCTTTTGGCTTGCTGCTACAGCATTTGACTGTTTTGCAGTTTAAAATAAAGGCTTGCAATATAACTTACGGTATGAAAGGCCCGTGAAACCTGCTCTTAAAAATGTTACTGCTGCTCTCGTGATTATGCTTTTGTGTTAAAATGTTCACTAATAAAATACAAAGAGCAGCCTTGTATATCTTTTATTTCTCATAACTTGTTTGTTAAGTAGATAGAAATTATATGGTTTGTGCAAGCGTTGAGGTGTACTCTGCAACATGGATTGCTTTTGGCATTGCTGCTCCCAGATCAGGAAGAATTCTTGTTTTCGTAATCCATACAGCAGACCAGAATTTTGGTGCATTTTAACTTGGCAGCATAAATAGCATACTCATGCAGAAACTTAGCTTTCTAGAAAGGAAGGAAGGAAGTTGTTGTGCATCATTAAGTCTCTACTTCCATATGGGCACTACGCTGTTTACTGTAGCGTGAAAAGGCACCTGGGGAGTAAACCCAGAGTGCTCCTGAGATCCCTTGTAAGGTAGGCGATAACAACGAGGGCCTTCCTCGTTTAATTTAGACTTTGCTTGAATGATTCCTTATGGAGCTGCGGTGGCTCAAGTGGTTAAGACGCTGAACTGCAGGCTGTGGAAGGTCAGTAGTTCAGCAGTTCGAGACCCGAGTGTGCCGCATGACGGAGTGAGCTCCCGTCTCTAGTTCCAGCTCCTGCCAACCTAGCAGTTCGAAAGCAAGAAATTTCAAATAGATGAATAGGTAGCACTTCAGTGGGAAGGTAACAGCATTCCGTGCGCCTTGGTGTTTAGTCATGCCGGCCACATGACCACGGAAATGTCTTTGGACAGCGATGGCTCTTCGGCTTTGAAACGGAGATGAGCACCGCAACCCTAGAGTCGGATTTGACTGGCTTTCGAGCAAGGGAAACCTTTACCTTTACCTGAATGCACTTAAGGCCGTCTTGTTGGGACAGCCTTCTTGGGAGATACACCATTCTCCAGGAACAACTCTCTCTAAGCAAAACAAGTTCTTTGTATAACCGGCATAGGTCTATCTTGACCTTCTCGGACTCCTACAAACAGAAGAGCAGGGTTCGAGTCCTGTAGCACCTTAAAGGACCAGTAAGAGTTCCAGGGTATCCACTTGGAGAGCCAAAGCTCCGTTGTATCTTGACAAAGGGAGCTTTGATTCTCGAACGCTCACACCATGGAAATATTGCTGGTCTTTAAAGTGCCGCTGGACTCCAGTCTGGCCCTCCTGCCCCAGCAACACAGCTGCCCACAAGAGTGCCTATTGTGCAGGAACACAGGTTGGTTCTACTGGTGGTGCAAGCTGTGAGCTGCAGACAAAGACTCAAATCGGTAGTGATAGAAGCTTCGGTTGCCTCATTCGAGAGATCGGTGCCATCAGAGATCTTGTTTGAAAACAGAAGAATGCCTGGAACATCAAGCCACCGCGCCCCCCCCTTTTTTTTAGCTGAATGGAGGGTGCTTCACTTTCATAGCAAACGTGCTTCCTTCATCATTCCCGAACTGCCTCACAGCTAGTTTCCCTGAACGGAGGTCTCGCTCACACTACGTCCACCTGCTGAGAACTGGAGAAAGGTTTCTCTAAACGTCCAGTTGGCTATTCTGCAAGGCCTCTCTCCCTTACCAGGCCTTTTCATACAGAAGGATTAACAGGAAGTCATGCCTGAGGAGGCACGGGTCTCGGTCTGGAAAGGCCGGAGTGTGAAATCCCGCTTGTCCTCGCCGTCCTGAATGTTCTCTGTGTATGACAGCATGCTCTGCCGATCACAGCAGATTGTCCTCCTGATTGCAAAGCCATCGCTTTCCTTTAGTCTTCCGTTGCCCGAGACTGTTGGATTAAAGTGCACAGGCAGGGGGGGTAGGTAGAGTGGGTATAACATGTGAAAATTGCATAGTGAATGCTGTATGCCAGGGATCCCCAACATGTTGCCCCTGGGCGCCGTGGTGCTGCCAACACCGTCTCTGGCCCCCGTCCAGTGTTTTTAGAAAGTGGGCGTGGCCAGGTGGGCCCGTTGCCCAGCAAGGCATCTGATTGGCCATTGGACATCGGATTGGCTGTGTAGATTAAAACAACATTTCAGCACAAGCCGCCACCAATAGTGTTTTATTCTTTCTCTCGCTCCTCTTTCCCCCCAGCTCATTTTTAAAAATTACTCTTCTTCAGTGCTCCCTCTAAGCTGTGGAGTCTTGTGAGCAAAAATTGTACTTTGTGAGTTGCTGGCATTAAAGCTGTGAGCTAGCTCATACTAACTCAGCGGAGAGGGAACACTGCTCTTCTTGTGCTCTGCAGTTGGGCTTCTTCTGTGTGTGTGTGGGGGGGGGCTCTGCCTCCTGAAGCAGCCATTTTGTGGTTGGCCCTGCCTTCCACGGTGGCCATTTTGAGGATTGTACCCACCACCCCATGTGAGAACTCCCAAGGTGCCCACAGGCTCAGAAAGGTTGGGGACCGCTGCTCTATTATTCCAGTCACTTCTAAATGGCCTTGAAGCTTTATTTGCCTTGCTCAGTGACCGTATTCTGCATATGGCTTGGTGCCCATTCTTGGTGATTCTTCATGAAGTTTAAGATACTTGTTAAAAAGTTTGAATGACTTTCCCCCACCACCTGGTTGCTCTTCAAGGCTTGGAAAGAGATACTGAAGCCAGTCTTGTTTCTTTAGCAGAATAATCTACGTATTAGATTGTGTGTGTGTGTGTATAGTGTAAAGTTCCATCAAGTCACAGGTGATTTACAGCAAACCTGTAGGGTTTTTAAGGCAAGACAAGATCAGAGGTGGTTTGCCATTGCCTGCCTCTGCGTCACGACCCTGGTATTCCTTGGAGGTCTCCCATCCACGTACTAGCCAGGGCCGACTCTGCTTAGCTTCTGAGATCTGATGAGATTGGGTTAGCCTGGGCTGTCCAGGGCAGGTATTAGATTAGGTTTTATGTAGTCAGGGTGGGTAGGCACATGGGTTAGCAGCATGGTGTATCTCAGTAATGGGTTTTTGCAGAGGGCAGAAGTAAGGGCCAGTGCCTTTGAACTATTTGAAAGGTAGGATCCGTCCCTACCCTAGACCAGGATGGGTTAATTAGGAATAGACAAACTATTAAATTACCTAGGTAGTTAGAACATGCTTTTCTTCACTATTTTTATGCTGGTTGATTCTTGAATTCATATGAGTGACGCAGTTATCAGGCGGATGATTAATGAGAAGTGCAGAGGAGTGACCCTGTCTGGCTTAATTAAAGAGTTAAAAAGTAGCACCTGCGTTCTTTGCCAACATTCTGCTTCAGGCAGTTTGGAAGTCTCTTGACTGTTATTGCTAGCAGGTCCGTGGGCACTATGCCAAATTTCAGTAACTTGCGAAAATCTCTTTTGTGATCTTCGACTATGCAGCTTTCCTTTTCTCATGAAGACCACCCGTCATGGGTTTCTGTCTTCACCTGTAGCGTGAAGTGTGGTGTTGCCTCACTTCTGAAGGTAAAAGGCACTGAAAATCTTTTCTGTTCCCACTCAACTGCAGATAAGTGCTGTTCGTTTACCACGAGAGCCTAGTAACCCAGAGAGGTTGAAAGGATTTGGATATGCTGAGTTCGAAGACCTGGACTCCTTGCTCCGTGCTTTGAGCCTCAATGAAGAGGTGAGTTGAAACCTGCCGAGAAATATAGACACAGTCTTAAGAACATAAGAACATAAGAGATGCCAATGTTGGATCAGGCCAAAGGCCCATCCAGTCCAACACCCTGTGTCACACAGTGGCCAGAAATACCAGGTGCCATCAGGAGGTCCACCAGTGGGGCCAGGACATTAGAAGCCCTCCCACTGTTGACCCCGCCCCAAGCACCAAGAAGACAGAGCATCCCTTGCCCCAGAGTCCCTATCTATACCTTGTGGCTCATAGCCACTGATGGACCTCTGCTCCATATGCTTATCTAATTCCCCCTTGAAGCTGTCCATGCTTGTAGCTGCCACCACTTCCTGTGGCAGTGAATTCCAAGGGTTAATCACTCTTTGGGTGAAGAAGTACTTCCTTTTATCCGTTCTAACCCGACCGCTCAGCAATTTCATGGAGTGCCCACGGGTTCTTGTATTGTGAGAAAGGGAGAAAAGTACCTCTTTCTCTACCTGCTCTTTCCCATGCATAATCTTATAAACCTCAATCATGTCACCCCTCAGTCGTCGTTTCTCCAAGCTAAAGAGCCCTAAGCGCCTTAACCGTTCCTCATAGGGAAAGTGTTCCAACCCTTTTATCATTCGAGTTGCCCTTTTCTGCACTTTTCCCAAAGCTATAATATCCTTTTTAAGGTGTGGTGACCAGAACTGCACACAGTATTCCAAATGAGGTCGCACCATTGATATAATCCTATTGGTTGCATTTATCGAGACCGTGCAATCCTACTAGAGTCTCTGTGAGAGGGGCAGGCTCTAAAGTGAATAAATTGACCTGCAAACCACTTTCCCAGCTCCTATGATCCCTGTAGAAGTCTGAGATCCATTTGTATCATCCGCAAATTTAGCCACTTCACTGCTTACTCCCAACTCCAATCCTTCCTTTTGCGGCTCGGCTTCCCCTAGCGAAGACAAAAATGTGTGAGTCGGAGGCTAAAAAACTGCGAGCTGGCTCACACTAACTCAGCTTAGAGGGAACACTGGTGTCCGGTAACATTATCCAGTGGTTTTCATGTGAGATAATGTGAAACTTCTAGTATGTAAAAGAAGAGTTGGTTTTATACCCTGCTGTTCTCTACCTTAAGGAGTCTCAAAGCGGCTTGCTATTCCCTTCCTGTATCCACAAGAGGCACCTTGTGAGGCTTGGGGGGGGGGGGGGGGGTTTGAGGTGTGGAATGGACTTCACTCAGCAGGTTTCTGAGCATCTGCTTTCTAAAAGTAGCTGGGAAGTATGTTGTGCAGGCCGGCTAACAATATTCGCTTTCACATCTTGGCTCTGGGTATGATTTGAGCGGTTAGACCACCGGCCACATACGAATAATTTCTTAGTCAAGAAAATCCTCTGGTAATTATAACAAACCTCGCAGTGTCCCATCTGAGTTGCAGTTGGATGTTACCGCTAGGGGTCATGTTATACTGTATATACACTGGCAGATGGGAACCCAGTGTCCATCTGAGAATACTGTGCAGGAACACTGATACATTTTGTGCCAACCCTTTATAGACCTTTTTGGCAGCAGGAGTCTAGGCAGCAATTCGTATGGAGTGCTTCTCTAGGTTATATGATGGGTGTTACATTATAGCCAGTTTAGTGTATTTGTTAAGTGCGCGGACTCTAATCTGGGAGAACCGGGTTTGATTCCCCACTCCTCCACTCGCAGCTGCTGGATGACCTTGGGCAAGCCATAGTTCTGTCAGAGCTGTTCTTGAAAAAGGAGCAGTTTCTGTCAGAGCTCTCTCAGCCCCACTCACCTCACAGGGTGTCTATTGTGGGGAGGGGATGGGAAAGGAGTTTGTAAGCCACTCTGAGACTCCGAGTGAAGGGCGGGGTATAAATCCAATCTCCTCCGTCTCCTCCTCCTCCTTCTCCTCCTCTGCTCTTGAGCCTCCATCTACAGGGGTATTATATTCATTTGTAAGGCATGGTGGGAGGTTGTCATACTTCCCTAAAATTGGATGAGGCTCCGCTTTCTCTGAGAGGAACCATAGAGTCCTATTGGACCCGGCCCTCCTATTAGAGAAATAGGGTAGCTACAGAAGCAGAAAGTGCTTTTTACCAACCCTATTCGACTCTCAGTCTTGCCCCTCTGCTTGGAGACTCTCAGTTTGTCCACACTGATCCATGCAGCAGTAATCTTGAAGCTTGACAGCTGCGATGTGTTTTGTGCTGGGCTTCTTTTGAAGACTGTTCAGAAACCACAATTAGTGCAGAGCACAGCAGCATGCGTGTTGTCGGGCTGGCAACAGCAGTCGTATTATGCTTGATGTATGATCATTATTGCACTGGCTGCCTGTTGGTTTTCAAGTCTAGTTCAAGGTAGTGAGGCTAAGTGAGGAAGGGAGAACCATGTATATTGCTTTGAGCTCTTTGCAGGAAGAGTGGGTTAAAAATGTACTAGATCTTCAAATACGGTTAGAAGACGATTGAGCTCTTCTACTGTCATTTTTGCCAGCCAGCAGTCTGATTTTGCAGCTTTATATGCAGCACAAGTATGTTTTCCCTCTTCCCGTATGGGGGAAAAAAAAACAGGACAATGATAAAACTGTCTTGGCATTGCTAACATGAAGAGTAAAAATGCAGTTTATTATGCAACAGGGAGCTGGGTGCACTTAAATCAGGTTACACTGTAGAGTTTATGCAGTAGTTTTCACTTGGAAAGGGTGTCTTGAGCCCAAATTGAGTGTAACCAAACTAATCGTATTAATATTTTTGTTCCTCTGGCATTAGGGAGAACCCACAATTAGATTATCTGCAGCAATAAAGTGAGATATGACTATTTTTAAAATCCTGAAGTACATCCTATGTATTTATGTATGGAAGGTCTATCAGTGGTGACAGGAACAGAAGTCCAGCAAGTAGGATTTTTGAGGGGCATGTACTGCAGTCACACAGGTCTCCCCGGTTGGCTGGCTTCTTCCCGCAGGTCCAAATCGGCTACCACGGGATCCGTTTCCCGGGAGCGTGGCTACATACCTTACTGAAAGCTGACCGGGCTGCTTGTCTTTGGACTTAAATAAGCTAATGTTTGCACTCTGTGTTCAGTCTTTAGGGAATAGGAGAATACGAGTGGATGTGGCCGATCAAGCTCAGGATAAAGGTAAGAACTGCGTCTCTGTAAGCGGAGACAAGTTTTGTTCTAAGCGAAAATCCCTGCGGATGTGGTTCGTTTGCTTTTACTTCTGTGTTTGGGCTGTTCTGCTGCGCCAGGGGTTGGTTTTGCAGATCCTTCCGAAGCCCTGCCCGCTTCACAAGAAATCTTCATAGTAGTAAGCGACATGTGGAGTCTCTGTGATCATGCATATCTTCTATAATAAAGCAGAATTCAGGTGGGTCCGAAGCAGCAGAACAAAGTCTGAGTCCAGTGGCACCCTTTAAGACCAACCAAGTTTTATTCAAAGTGTAAACTTTTGTGTGCAAAGGAGACTTCTTCACACAGATTGGAATAAAATCTCCTCAAAGGCTACTTACAGAGGGGGAAAAAGAGGGTGGGACGCAGCCGTTAAGAGGAGTCACTCAGAGCCCAGATGCAGAGCTGTCTTGGAGGGTACTGCTGGACTCTAGCTTCATTCTCACATCTATTTGGCAACTCTTGCATTTACATGCTGATTTGCGGCCATCCATTGATCTCACCAGCCACCTGATCCAATTTCAGCTCTGGGGACGCATCTTGGCTCTGAGTGGCCCCTCCTAACGGCTGCCCCCGTCCTTTTTTCTCCTGTAAGTCACCTTTGAGGAGATTTTATTCCAATTTGTCTCAAGAAGTGTGCTTTGCACATGAAACCTTCCACTTCGAATAAAACTTGGTTGGTCTTAAAGGTGCCACTGGACTCAAACTTCGCTCCGCCAGAATAAAGCAGATCACTGCAATCCGTTAGGTTTTATCTCCGGAGCAGATACTGTTACCTCTGTTGGTGTGCACCAAGAATCCTGAGCCCTCCTCCTGGTCCCCAGTTCCCTCTAATTTGATTTCTTTTGTGGGGGTGGGTGAGATTTACTGATAGCCGGAGGTTTCAGTTCTTGTGCAGAGAAAATAGGGTTCAGTCGGACGGTACAGTATCTCGCACAAAGTTACAAAGCAGTGGTGAAACTGACCAAGATTGGGCATGTCAGCTTCATCGCTGCTTTGGGAGAATTTACATTGGTGTCCGGAAGCAGCCTCTTGTTTAAAGGCCACAAAACGGACAAGTTGCCTCCTGCATCCAGGAAGTCTGGAGGAATTCCTTCTTTGGAATCAGGACACAGATAAAGCTTTTTAAAGCACCTGATTCAAACTGAACTCCAGGGTTTGCTGCCCAGCTGGAGGGAAAGCTTGACTGTTTTCTCTACGCTCTCAGCATGGGGACTAGAGAATGCATAATTCATGGTAGATCTCCCAGGCTCGATAGAACAGGGGCATCCCAGACTGGGTGGATGATAAAACAGCTTTCTGTGGGAGGTGCAGAACGTGGAAGGAAAAGAATGAGTTCCATGAATCGCTGCCTGGGATTGTTCCCTCCCAAGTGGTTGCCTGAATACAACCTTGTAACCAAACCTTCTGGGGTAAGAGGTTAGTGCTCACCTGCCTGACTTAGCTTTAGGACTCCTCTTTCCACAGCGGGGTTTGGATAAACTGCAGCACTTCTGTGGGGGGAAGAACGTCTGCCCTCCCCACCCCCCAGGAGCAACATTTAGAATCATAGGATCACAGAGTTGGAAGGGGCCCTACAGGCCATCTAGTCCAACCCCCTGTTCAATGCAGGATCAGCCTAGAGCACCCCTGACAAGTGTTTGTCCAGCCCGCTGCTTAAAGACTGCCAGAGAGGGGGAGCTCACCACCTCCCTAGGCAGCTGATTCCACTGTTGCACAACTCTGACTGTAAAGAAGTTTTTCCATATCCAGCTGGTACCTTCCCACCATGATTGTGAGTCCTCTCCTCTCCTGCCTGATTGCGAATCTTATCCTCTCCTGCCAACAGGAACAGCTCCTTGCCCTCCTCTAAGTGACAGCCCTTCAGATACTTAAAGTCACGTGCACCCCTCAACCTCCTCTTCTCCAGAGTAAACATTTCAGGGAGTCCTGGGGTTGTTGCCCAAGGGGGCAAGAAAGTTGTTCTCTGCAGGCAGAAGCCCTTTCGCTCCTCTAATCGCCGCGATGGATCCAAGCCCAACATTGCATCTCTATTTGGCCAGTTTCCATAAGACCTGGTATTTCTTACAGACATGCCATCCGCAAACCTCCTTTTAAAAGGGGGATGCAGCCCTGTGAAAAAGGACACCTCTTCTGTCAAAGCATCAGCACCTGTTGAATGGGACAATTTTAACTCCCCTTTTCCCCCCCAAGTGACTCGTAAACGCATAAAGCCCTGGTGTATCATTTAACTCTTGCATTGCCATTGCTTCCTGCAGACAGGGACGACCGCTCTTTCGGTAGAGATCGTGATCGCAACCGGGATTCGGAAAGATTCGAGACTGACTGGAGGGCTCGTCCTGCTACAGAAAGCTTTGATGACTACCCTCCCCGCAGGAGCGAGGATAGCTTCGGAGATAGTGAGTTCGGGGCAGATTTCATCATTTATATGGCCTCAAGCTGTAAAACTGTGTTCTGCTCTTCTTCCTTGGCTCGCTTTCTAGATGCGTTGAAGACTGGAAAGGCACTGCATTCCTAACTTATCAACCAAACACATGACAGGATTTACCGTTTTATTTATAACCCCCCCTTTTTTTATCGTGCTTTTGGGCAAAAGTGGCTTTAGAGCGACCTCCCCATCCTCCCCGTGGATGTCTCTGAATCAGACACTGGGCTGTGGGCAGCTGTTCACTATGGAAGACTGTGCTTGCGGTTCCTATAATGGGAATATTGGTGGAGATTCTAGTACTTGTACATTTTCAGTGCCTGGAATGCACTGCAGAGTTTGGAGAGTTCATTCAATCTATATGTGTGGCTCGTGTCATCCTGTTCTGGAAATCCTGTTTGTTGTAGCAGTTGGTGTATTTCTTTTGGGTTAAGTCCTCTCCTGTGAGAGTCATAGCAGCACTACTGAGATAAAGGCCTGGTCACACATATGTGAAGCCGCCTTATAGTGAATCAGACCTGTGGTCCATCAAGGTCATTATTGTCCACTCAGACTGGCAGCGACTCTCCAGGGTCTCAGGCTGAGGTCTTTGACATCGCCTGTTGCTTGGCCTTTCAACTGGAGATGCCAGGGACTGAACCTGGGACCTTCTGCATGCAAAGCAGAGGCTCTTTCACTGATCCACAGTCCTTCCCTTTCTGGTCCTTTCTAATCCTCTCTTAAGCCACGGAGGGGCTTCTTTAATTATGTTTAGAATCCACCTGGCTTCATGTGTTTTCTTGTAGTGGTTTGCTATTGAGGGAGCACATTTCCTCCGCTATTCTCCTTCAGAAACAAAGCCTTTAAAAAAAAATAATTTGGCTAGTTAAAATGCTCTTTTCTGTCAGGAAAGGAATTACCTATATTTTGGGCATAGTTTAAGATGCTTTACTTAATAATAATAATAATTGAGATGCTGCATGCCGTTCAAGGAACGCAGACTACTATAGCTGTGGAGTGAATATGAACGTATAGGCCTTCTTACGGGTCTCTGCTCCATGGTCTTACGCAACCCATGCACTCATGTTTCCCCCTTTGATACGTGGGTATCCCACCAGGATAAAAGACAAGAGGGGAGCATTACGTGGGCCGCCCTGAGCTCTTTTAAGACTGGGACGGTATTTGTCTACCTTGTAAGGCTCTTGTTGGAACTATGTATTTGAAGTTCTTTGAAATTCTATCATCGTTAATAATAATATAGTCTGTATCCGGTCAGGACTGTTGAGAGGATGCTGTTGGTACTGTGCCATTAAAGTACAATAGCACCTTTTAGTTGTGGAGACTCTTCAAAGCTTGGCCCCTTTCCAGAGGCCCCTGCAAGACCTGTTTTGTGGCCACGTTTGCTTCTGTGAGCCTTTTGGAACGCAAACAAGCACCTACTTAAATACTTTCACGCACTGTGCGGTAAAACATAAGGCGGTATGTCTTGGTGGAACGTTGTAATTTTAGGAGGTCACCTGCAAGCTCGTCTGCCCAACTTAACTGTACGCAACATGCTTTTCAGAACTACTAACTCATTGTTATACTAGAGCTGTTTTGTATGTCCTGTAACCTTCTTTTCCCAACTTAGGATATCGGGACCGTGATCGTTACGATTCGGACCGGTATCGCGATGGTCCCCGAAGAGAGATGGGCAGTTTTGGGGGCAGAGATCGTTACGATTCGGACCGTAGAGACTACGATAGGGGAGGTACTGTGCATCAGTGTCTTTTGTCGCGGGCTGTTGGGTTAAACAACCTCTTATAATAGGTATCTCAGTCTGTACAGTCACTTGTGTGGAATGGTTATTATCCGGGGGGGGGGGGGAAACACCCACCTCTAGCAGGCTTGAAAATTTCCATTTTGTGTATAGGTCATTGGCGCCCAGAAGGCATTTCTACCTTGAAAGTGACTGTAATCGGAGACGGAGTATCAGAAGTAGCATTCAGAGAAATGTTCCTCGGGCTTTACCGGCACATTTTGCTTTAGTGTCCCAAGAGCAAACTGGTTGATGAAATGTTCTAGAGGCGGAAGGAGACCTAGCTAACCCAGTGCTTTCTTGCTTGCCCATTACTCAGTTTTACAGTACATCAGATAACGCTCCTGGTTGCATATAGCGCAAAGGTGGAAGGATAGACTTCCTCCGTCTGTATCACAATGGCGAGCGAAGGTCTGGGACTACTATACCCTTGAAAGGTTTGCAGTCTATACAGACTGCTCCTCTTTTGAATGTCATACTTTAGATCCTCTAAACAAATGGTTCCTCTTTCTTGAAAAGATGAATGCTGAACAAGTGTTATGTGAAAAATGGTCCTTATTCAAAACTAAGGCGTTCATATGCTAAGTTCAGGGCTACAATACTCTCCCATGCTCCGACTTTACCTGTTCTATGTTCCCTCCGTTATATTACGGGTAGTTTTTGGTATGTTATGTCTTATGAATATGTAATGAGTATGTTGAAGATTTCTGGCTCTGCTTGTACCCTTTCCAAAATTCAATAAAATGTTTATACACACACACACACACACCTGGGGTCCCCATGCCTGTGGGTGCCGTGGCATTCGCCAAAATTTTTCCTCAGTGCCCACGGAGTGTTTTTTAGAAAATGGGTGGGGCACTCGCCCAGCAGGGCTTCTTATTGGCTGCTGGAGATCCTGTTGATGGGCAGATTACAATAACATCTTTTCAGCAACAGCAGGCCACTGCAGTGGTAGTTTTATTCTCTCTCACTCCTCTTTCCTAGTGTCCTTTTTAAAAATTACCCCCTTTTCCCTGTACTTGGGCTTTCTCTGTATGGTTGGCTTTGTCTCGTGTAGCAGCCATTTTCTGGTTGCGCCCACCATCCTGTGTCAGAATTCCAGAGGTGCCCACAGTCTCAGAAAGGTTGGGGACCCCTGTGACAGCCTGTGTGACCTTTGAGTTATTTCCAGCCGGTGATTCTTCCATTGGGCCCTTGGTTTCTTGGTGCCTGTCTTTTCCCGCACCTAGTTTACGGGAGCAGGGTTTGCATTCTGTCACAGACACATTCCAGCCTGTTATCACATCTGAGCTGTTTTTAATTTAAGCTTTGGGTGGGTTTTGCCGAATGGGTTTTGCTGAGAAGCCTCTTCATGTCCAAATATATTGCCTTGCCGACTATGTGAAATCCTCCTCCACACACACACACACAAGCCTTGATCTGTCACTACTGTCCAGTTTTATTTGGTTGTAGCTTGGTTATTAATATTAGGGATAGGTACGAACACAGGGAAAATGCAATTCAGTTTCTGGCTCATGGCTTGCCTGGTTCACGAACCACGGACTGTCATGAACTTATAGTGTCAAACTGTTCAGTTTGTCAGATTCGTGACCTGGTAAAACAGCCCCTGGCATTCTTGAGACACCAAACTTGCAGGGGATCTCTGGTTGACTCTCTTCTGCCTGCCCTCCATGTTTGGTGAGGATTGGATTGATGGGATCCAAGTTATGGTCCCCCAAAGAAGGTATCCCCAGGAAAGTGCTTTCTAGGGAAATGACAGGTGCAGGTTCAGGAGGTTCTCCCCCTTCCCCGCCTGGGGTTTCTCTGCTGCTCTTGTCAGTTTTAAGAGGGTCCTCCCTCTTCGCCAGCCTTCCTTTGCATTCCCATTTTCTTGCACAGAGTTTGCAAAATCACACACACACCCGGCCTCATTTGGATTTCTGTGACACTGTGCTTTGAGATCAATCAATCCTTCTAAGTTTGCGTTGCCACGCCAGGGTGGTACTGGATTCTGGTGGGCATTCTGTAGACTGAACTGGTTGTGCTGGACTTGCAAACACCCACCCCCTTACTTGGATTTCTTGTGACTCTGCTTTGAGATCAGTCCTTTTAAGCCTGCATTGCCACAGTGGCACTGGGATCTGTTGGGTATTCTGTACACCGAACTGGTTGAAATGGTTGTGCTGGGCTTGAAAATATACCCCCCCCCTTTCAGTCTATACTGTAGGGATTCTGCGGTTTGACATTAGTCCTCTTTTGCTTGCATTGCTGTAGTTACAGGTGTCTGTGGAACCCGCGACACCAAAGGCACAGGGAAACTTCAGCCCCACCCCCCTTGCTTTGAAGTTTGCTTTGAAGTTTGGTAAACATCTTGATTGAGCAGAGGCAGTTTGTCTGGAAGTGTATCCATTCACAAACCACAACAACCTCTAGGAACAGCTTCAAAGTTCTTGGAAAGTTTGTGCTGGTTGACCTGTCACGAACTTGACTTCCCAAACCACGAACCAGCCAGATTTGTGAGGAACCCATCCCTAATTACTGTGTTGTATGTGTGTGGACATGCCCATAGGGAATCCCAATATTCCTCCTTTTAGGAGTGATACCCTGACATCTGTTTCCTGTTTGAATTGGGGTTCCTGCCTCGCATGCAGAGCGCCTCTTGCTGCTCTTGTCTGCAGGCACAACGGTCCTCCTCTTGTGCAAGGAAGCCACTGTAAACTTCCTCTCCTTGCAGGTTTCGACTCAAGGTCAGGCAGTGGCAGGAGAGCCTTTGGCAGTGGATACCGTCGAGATGATGATTTCAGGGGCGGTGGCGACCGCTACGAGGATCGTTACGAAAGGAGAGATGACCGGATGGATAGGTGGAGCGCACCACGGGATGATTATTACAGGGATGACAGCCGGCGGGATGATAGAGGTCAGTCCAGCTTGTGCTCGGCTGCAAGTTGAGGAGGAGTTTGTTGGTTTTGCTCCCATCGGGGATATCCACGCTTCTGTCCTGAGAACGCTCAGTTGTCTTCTTCCTTAAAGGTGAAGGAATCAGTCTTGAGTCTGGCCCCGAGCGACAATGATTTCTTTTTTTCCTTGCTTCCCTCAAAGCAGTATTCTGCCGACACCAGCAAACATAATCCTAGGAGAACATGTGAAGAAATCTGGTTCATTTCCCAATGAATAGAAAATACACCGCTGCAGAAGTTCTTGTCTTTTAAAGATTTATCAGCTCCCATTGATTGCTGGTTCTTATCTGATTCCTTAGGGGTTGTGTGTGTGTGTTTTGTTTGCTTTTTTAGTATTTCTCCATCATGGCTTTAAGTGCCATGGCACCGTTAAACCCTTAACTCCCTCCCACATAAGTTGACCGTACGAAGCTTAAGTCTCTTGCTGTCAGCTTTTCCTAATCACTTTCTTATTTTTTAAGAGTTGTTATTGATCTGGGTGTTCTCCCCCCCCCCCTTAGGTTCCACTCAGAGGCCTAAATTGAACCTGAAGCCCAGGAGCACCCCCAAGGAGGAAGATACATCCGTCGCTCCTGCGACCCAGTCTAGCCGTGCAGCCTCCATCTTTGGAGGGGCCAAGCCTGTGGACACAGCGGCGAGAGAGCGCGAAGTTGAGGAGAGGCTACAGAAGGAGCAGGAGAAGCTGCAGCGTCAGCTGGAGGACGATAAGCCCAGGCTAGAGCGACGACCCCGGGAGCGGTGAGTGCCGAGATAGGATTGGGGGCGAGGGGCATGCAGGTGCTCCAGCGGAAAAGTAGTTTCTGCAGTGGTGGTGTGGGGGGGGGGAGAAAGATACCGTAGAGATCCTTGCATCCCCCCCCCCTGAATATTGCAGACTGCCTGCCGAGTCTGTCCATCCCGAAGGAAGCGAAAGATAACCTCCCATTACCTTTCCTTGAAAATTCGGCTAGACCAGGGATGGCCAAACTTGCTTAACGTAAGAGCCCCACAGAATAAACGTCAGATGTTTGAGAGCCACATGACATGAACGAATGTTACAGACATGGTTTTTCAGGGCTCTTTTTGTAGGTAAAGCCCAGCAGGAACTCATTAGCATAATAGGCCACACCCAACAGCAGAAACTCATTAGCATATTAGGCCACAACACTGACAGCACAGCTCATTGGCATATGAGGCCACACCTCCATGTTACCAGAAGTGTGCTCATCCAGCCACACCCACCTTTTGCTTCTTATTCTGTTTACCTTGTTTGTTGTCAAAACCCAGGGCTTTTTTTGTAGCAGGAACTCCTTTGCATGTTAGGCCACACACCCCTAATGTAACCAATCCTAATGAGTTTCTGCTGTTGGGTGTGGCCTATTATGCTAATGAGTTCCTGCTGGGCGTGGCCAACTCGGAAGCCAACCGGAACTCCGTTCCTGTGCGTTCCTGCCCAAAAATAGCCCTGGATTGAATAGTATGCAAATTTGCTTTTTATTAACAGTAAACGAGACTGCCAAAAATGAAAAATAAAAGGGATAAAAATAGATATTGGTAATGATATTTATTTGTCCAATGATATTTGTAGGCTGGGGGGGAGGGGCTTTCAGAACACATTTCAAGCTGAAGTTGCTTTCTTTCTCTGCTCCTCCCTGCCTCAAGCCTACCCAGGGAGGGGAACGCTGGCCGGGGAAGGGAAGACCGATTGGGGAGGCATGCCCTCCCCTTCACTTCCTCAGCTGCCCTGCGGGGAGCCACACAATATGTGTGGAAGAGCCACATGTGGCTCCCGAGCCACAGCTTGGCCACCCCTGGGCTAGATCTTAAAGCCTCGTGGCTCTAAGGAGCATGTTGTAGAACCACTTCTATAAGCCAGGCCTGGCATCAGGCTTGGACACACCCGTGTTTGACAATAAAGCAATAACACAGTTTGAATTGAAAACAAACCTAAGGTTTGAGAGCTGCAAAGACAACCGCTTGACATGTATTTATTTATTTATTTAATTCAGTTTATTTCCCGCTCTCCCCGCCAAAGTCCCTTGCAACCCATGTAGAGTTGCCAGCTCTGGGGTAGGAAAGACCTGGGAATTTTAGGAGTGAAGCCTGGGGGAGCGCAGGGTTTGGGGAGAGGGGGGAGGGGCCTCAGCAGCGGACAAGGCCGTGCAGTCCACCATCCAGAGGAGCCATGTTCCCCCCCCCCCCCAGGTGAACTGATCTCTGTTGTCTGGAGATCCGTTGTAATACCTGGAGTTTCTATGGTAACAACAGAAGAAGAAGAAGAAGAAGAAGAGATTCGATTTATGCCCCGCCCTTCACTTGGAGTCTCAGAGGGGCCAGTTTGGTGTAGTGGTTAAGAGCACAAACTCTAATCTGGGAGAACCAGGTTTGATTCCCCACTCCTCCACATGCAGCTGCTGGTGTGACCTTGAGTCCATCACAGTTCTCTCAGAGCTGTTCTCTCAAGAGCAGTCCTGGAAAGAGCTCTGTCAGCCTCACCTACCTCACAGGGTGTCTGTTGTGGGGAGTGGAAGGGAAAGGAGATCGTAAACCACTCTGAGTGAAGGTTGGGGTATAAATTCCAATCTCCTCCACTACCTCCTCCTCCTCCACCACCTTGAAGATCCTTGTGCTGTGGTGACAGCTCTTGCCAAAACAATATTTTTGGGGGATCTCCAGTGGCCAGATCAGAAGCCCTGTTGGGCAAAAGCCTCATCTAGTCCACCCATTTTCCAAAACACTTTTGGCGGGCACCAGGGAAGTTGTTGGTGGGAGGCATGGTGTCCATGGGCACCACGTTGGAGACCCCAGCTCTAGAATTTATTCAGTCAAGAAATATCCCTGGTTCCCATTCTCCTCACTTTTTAGTAACTAAAAAAATAACAGCCCTGCTTTAACCCAGAGGCAGTTCGGAAAGTAGGTGAAGCTGATTTGGGAGTGTGTGGGAGCTACTGCTATCAGACATACATTGACTCCTGTATAATGACTTCACTGTGCTTATTTTAATCATCTGCTATATCTCATGAATGTGCTGATTGATTTATCCGGGTTAACTTGGCCGCTATTCGAGTGTTTTACAGGAGAAAGGGAGGAATTCTTCTTTAAAAATTCTTAACATAAATAAACCAGCTGGGCTGTTAAAGAGTTTTGGCATCAGTACGTTCAAGCCCCAAACAGATTTAACTCATTTCCCGTGAGTTACGACCTGCCCACCCCAACTCCTTTGTGGAACAAGAACACCCACACCCACCCACCCCCGTGAGAAGTGGAGCTCGTCAGATGAAAAGGGCTGAGCAGCAGTTCCGTTTGGGCTTAGCCAGAGACCCTTTGCAGAAATGTGCCTGGCCAGCTTCTCCAGGAACAGGGCAATAAAGCTCGCTTTGCATCCCTCGTGTATTCTCCAGGCACCCTAGCTGGCGTAGCGAAGAGAATCAAGAGCGATCGCGGACAGGGAGCGAGTCGTCGCAGACTGGCAGCACAACCCCGTCTGTGGGAACAGGCCCGACAGGAAGAAGTAAGCTGTCCACAAAAGGGCCATTTACCTCCTTGCCTGAGGGGTGGGAAGTCTGGCTGGTTTCCAGGCCTGTTTCATGTCATAATGGGAGAGTTTTGAACGTCAAAGGTGCTGTTCCAGATACGATACAGATCGAGGCTTATGAATCCTTATGGGGTTTTTTTGGGGGGGGGGGGTTGGTATTTTTAAATTTTTTGTGTGTGTGCCCATGCCTGGAGGTCATGGCAACCTCTGGAGACTCCTACTGGGGCACGGAGGATGTTCAGAGAAGCAGCTTGATCGCCTGCCTCTGGCCTCCTGGCCCTGGTATTCTCTGGAGGTCTCCCATCAAAATGCCTGCCAGGGTCAGCCCTGCTTAACTTCTGACAGGCTTGCCTGGGCTATCGAGATCAGGGCCTTATGGATAACTTTAAGCATGCAGCATATCCCCTGCTTGCTCGTTGGTAGCAGCTGATTAGTAGGAAGAAATTTGAACAGAACAAGCCACTGAGCGAGAGCCGGCGTGGTGTCGTGGTTAGAGTGTTGGACTAGGACTCGAACTCCCCACTCTTCCATGGAGGCTCGCTGGGTGGCTTTGGGCCAGTCACACCCTCTCAGCCTGACCTACCTCGCAGGGTTGCTGCGAGGATAAAATGGATGGGAGGAGAACAACGTTACAACTCTTTGGGTCCTTATTGGGGGCGGGGGAGGTGGGATACAAGTAAATAAAAGAACAAAAGCCAGTTATGACTTAATGCAACCACCTTGAAAGAGACGAAATTTCTCCACTCGGAGGGGGAAAGGCAATGGTTCGCTGTGTTGTGTTCTGTTTCACATAGTGGACTGGGCACAATTTCAACTTTGTTATAGGGTCATGGGCAGTGTTCCCTCTGAGCTATGGAGCCCCGTGAGCAAAAATTCTACTTTGTGAGCTACTGGCATTAAAGTTGTGAGCAAGAGATTTGGCTGCTGCATAAATTAGTTTGCTCTGGAGCCCTCCTTCCTGAGCTAAGACAAAAATGTGTGAGCCGGAGGCTAAAAAACTGTGAGCTAGCTCACACTAACTCAGCTTAGAGGGAACACTGGTCATGGGCTATCCTCAGTGAATTCACAGGTTGACGGAGCCGTCTGTATATGTTGGTGCCGCTGCATAACATCTACGAATAAGTACCGCTGGGCCCCAAAGGACTGGATATTTGGTTCAGAAAAATGTTTGTGTTCTCAACTGTATTGCCGCGCTAGGAGTGCTGACTTGCCGGCTTTTCCCTTTCTAGCCTCACGAAGGAGGGAGAGCGAGAAATCCTTGGAGAACGAAAGTGTCAGCAAAGAGGAGGAAGGCCTGTCTCCCACCTCCAAGAGTCCCCGGGAGGAGAAGCTCCCCCTGAAGGTGATGCCGGCTCCTCCGCCAAAAGAGAATGCTTGGGTGAAACGCAGCAGCAACTCGCACCCGGCACGCTCCCAAAGCTCAGACTCGGACCAGCATTCCCCTACCAGGTGACTTATCTCGTGGGGGGAGGGTCGGGGGGGGTACACTCCGCAGCTTGCATCCTGCTGTACAGTTGCTGCATGCAACACTTGAAAGAATCTCTAGACTGCTTTTTTGCAATGGAAAGCTTTTTGGAAAGAGCCAGTTTGGTGTAGTGGTTAAGTGCGCGGACTCTAATCTGGGAGAACCGGGTTTGATTCCCCACTCCTCCACTTGCACCTGGCTGGATGACCTTGGGAAAGCCGTAGTTCTGGCACAGCTGTTCTCGAAAAAGAGCAGTTTCTGTCAAGAGCTCTCTCAGCCCCACCTACCTCACAGGGTGTCTGTTGTGGGGAGGGGAAGGGGAAAGGAGTTTGTAAGCCGCTCTGAGACACCTTTGGGTAGTGAAGGGCGGGGTATAAATCCAATCTCTTCCTCTTCCTCCTCTTCTTCCATCATGATTGCAAGGGAGACCTGCTCCAAATCTGACAGCAGGCATGCTAAGGACTCGGTACCAATGCTCCCTCTAAGCTGTGGAGCAAAAATTCTACTTTGTGAGCTACTGGCCTTAAAGTTGTGAGCGAGCAGTTTGGCTCCTGCATAAATCAGTTTGCTCTGGGGCCATCCTTCCTGAGCTAAGACAAAAATGGGTGGGCCAGAGGCTAAAAAAACTGTGAGCTAGCTCACACCAACTCAGCTTAGAGGGAACACTGCTCGGGACGGGGGCCTGAAGCTTAGATTCCCTAGGTGGTATTTCCTAATCATATCAAGACTTTGAAGTTTACTTACCTGGTCTTTTTTGGATCTGGCTTTGCAAGAGTTTCTTCTCCCTCATACGTAGCACTCAAGAATATGATTTATATAACTAACATTGGGCATTCAGCCTAGCCTACCTCAGAGAGTTGTTGTAAGGATTAAATGCAGGAAAAGAGAATGATGTAAGCTGCTTTTGGGGGGTGGGGAGGGTATTTTTCCATTTGTGTGTGTGCGTGCACCTATGCCTGGAAGTCATGGCAACATGTGGCGACTCCTGCTGGGTCACGGGGGACATTCAGACAAGTGGCTTGATCGCCTGCCTCTGGCCTCCTGGCCCTGGTATTCTCTGGAGGTCTCCCATCCAAATACTGGCGAAAGATGGCTCTGCTTAGCTTCTGAGATCTGATGAGATTGGGCTTGCCCGGGCTGTCCAGGTCAGGGCGACGTAAGCAGCTTTGAAGTAAAAGAAATAAAAATAAATTCCCAGATCTGGGCTGGGCAATACCTGGAGCTTTTGGGGGTGGAGCCAGGGTGGGGAGGGGCGGGACCCCAGCAGGTTATAATGCCACAGGCCCTCCAAAGCAGCCATTTTCTCCAGGGGAACTGATCTTGGATCTTCTGGAGATCAATTGTAATAACAGGAGATCCCCAGGTGCCTCTCGAAGGATGGGCAGCCCCAGCTGCTAGTGAGAGGCGGAGGACGTGTGGGGACTGCCGAAAAGTAAAACACGAGGATTTGATGGAACGTGACGCTTAATTTTGACTATCCAGCAGTACTTGCAATGCTGACGCAGCATCTGAGTTTTAGTGGCTGCTCAGTTGTCTCGCCTGGGAGTCCTTTGGGCTGGATGCCAGGGCGAGAGGCTCACTGCTTTGTGCTGCTGGGACGGCGGATCTCTGAAAGATGACGCACGGTGGTGGTGGGTCCTAGGCTAGCAGTCGGCTGTGTGCTCCATTAAAGAGAAATTTTGTCCCAGGGCGAGCTGAATTCTGTAGCTGCACCAAGTCTTAATGACAGACAAGCCTATATGAAGTTAACCAGATGTTTTTGTTTGCTTAATTCTCGTCCTTTTTTTTTTTTAGTTTTTGTTTAACAGTATAAGCAATAAAAGAACACAAAGGCGCCTATACCCAGTGAAAATACCCTGTCTCCTCTCTCCCCCGTTCCACCCTATCACATTGTTCGTTCACATCGCTGTTAAACAAAACAGAATTGTTGTACTGTCAGCATTAAACATACTGTCTCTTGTATTTGTTTGGTTTCTCCCAGTTTAGCGGCTTTCCTTCCAAGAAAGCCGTTGTAGGCCACTGTTCCCCCCCATAAAGCAATCCTCTTTCTGTCTCCCTTACAGAGTCCTGACTTCTTGTGTGTTAGTTTGTTGATAATCATACGATCCCAAACTTTCTGAATTCAGCCTTGTTCAAAGTCTTGTCTCTTTTTGGAAATAGTTGTGTATAGGCCTGAAGGGGCAGAAGGGGTCGTTCGAGCATCTAACCCGGCCGGGGCCGTATATTGTGTTGCCTCCAGGCTTTCTATCCTAAACAGGCTGAAAATCTGTGCGCTAGCTCACACTAACTCAGCTTAGAGGGAACACTGCTCAAGAGCAGTTCTCTCAGCGCTCTTTCAGCCCCCCCCACCTCACAGCCAAGGCTCCCTCTAAGCTGTGGAGTCTTGTGTGCAAAAATTCTACTTTGTGAGCTACTGGCATTAAAGCCGTGAGCGAGCAATTTGGCTACTGCATAAATTAGTTTGCTCTGGAGCCATCCTTCCTTAGCTAACTCAAAGATGTGTGAGCTGGAGGCTAAAACTCTGAGCTAGCTCACACCAACTCAGCTTAGAGGGAACACTGCTCACAGCATGTGGGGAGAGGAAGGGAGGGAGATTGTAAGCCGCTTTGAGACTCTTTTGGGTAGTGAAGTGCGGGGTATAAAAACCAACTCTTCTTCTTCTTCTAAATGTCTTCATGGCAGAGTCAGCATTAGAACCCAGATCACCTGGGATTATAATCACTACATAGACAGCGTCTCTTCTCCCCCCACCTTTTCAAATAAATGCTAGTTTTTCAGGGTGCTGAGCTTTGTGTTAATACTAAATTCCATGTTTCCTCTGTATTTGGGTGCAGGCATAAACACAGATTTACTTAGAGTCTTTGCCTGGAACTGGGGAGGGGGACCACTCTTCCTTGGTGTTAGGCAAACATCGTTCAGAAATGAGGCAAAAGGATCCAGAGGTACAAATGAAGGTGGAAAACGTTACTGTGTGTGCTTTCCTTATACACCTACAAGTCAAGGTGTGTTTGAAAGGTACCAGAGTCTTGCTGTACTTGGGCAGAGATGTGTGAGGCATCGATTAAGGGTATCCTGTAGGAATACAGTGTGCTGCAAAAGTCCCTAACGATGATTCCAGGTCCCCCGGAGCTTGTTTCCTGCATTTAAGGTATCAGGATCCGCTGGATCCGGGTCTGAATCTGGAGCTGCCTCACCAACCAAGGTTGCTTTTTGTTGGACAAGTGTCCCAGGACAGAGCCTCAGAATAGAACAAGAGGAGGGGATTTCTTTTCACCCAGTTTCCCCAGACTGTTCTGCCGAGCACCTATTCCCACCTGCCGGGGAGTGAGTCTGGCTCTTCCTCCCTGGCTGCTCCTGGGCACACCTTTTAAATGCTTCCCCCCCCGGGGGGGGGGGCTAAGCCAAGCCTCTTTTCCCCAACCCAGTCCTGGGGATTGACAGGCCCCTGGGCCAATGGATACTTTCCTGGGATTAGTGAACTCCCTGGCCCTTCCCCCTGAACTTCTTTAAAGAGCTGGCTGCCCACCCAGTCTCCTGTAAGAAGGTCAGTGCTGCCTGCTGTCCCTGCCCCCCGCCAGAGCTCCCCTGGGTCTCAGTGCCAGGGGTCCCCTCTGGTAGAAACTCAGCTGGGTTGGCTTCTGCTGCTGAGCATGCCACTGAGAGCCAGCTGGGCTCCTTTAAGCTGGCTGGCTCCCGAGTAGGCTCCGTCAAGGCCACACCTGACGACCGCAACGATCGGGTTTTGCTGGTGCAGCACACTTTCCATGGGGCTTGCAGTCCACTGGGGTAAGTGTTGGGATGGAGGCACTGATCTTGAACAAAAAAATCTCAGGGCTTCGCACCGGCATTGCATTTGGGCTTCTAGCTACAAGCTGGAAGGGTGTTTTCCCAGAGGGTAAGAAACTTCAGTTCGCGTCTGACATAGAACGAGGTGGACAGGAACCTACTCATGACATACAGTGTGCTCAGTCCTTTTGGAAGTCCTTTTTCTTTCAAAGCCAGTATCCGGAGCACCAACTCTGCTCTGACGGTGTGTTCTCTTTTGCAGTGGAAGCCAGACTGCGCCATCCCTACAGTCAGAAGATGGAGTACCCCCCATGAACACCCCAAGGAAAGGTAAGGAGGAAGATGCTTGCATGCAGCAGTCTGGGGGAGGAGACTGGCCTGGGGACCCAGGATCTACATGGGGTAGGATAGATCTGTGCACTTTGGCCATATAGATGAGTGTTCATAGCGTTTTAGAATCATAGAGTTGGAAGGGTTCTCCAGGGTCATCTAGTCCAACCCCCTGCACAAGGCAGGAAATTCACACATTCCTCTCCCCCACACCCCCAGTGACTCCTGTTCCATGTCCAGAAGATGGCAAAAAAATCCCTCCAGGATCCCCAGCCAAACTGGCTTGGAGAAAAAGTGCTTCCTGACCCCAAAGTGGCGATCAGCATTTCCCCGGGGCGTGTAAGAGAGGTCCTCAAGAACTGAGAACTGAGGCAACCCTTCCTGCCCTCCCTTCTCGTGATCTGCCTCAGTTCACAGAATCAGCATTGCTGTCAGATGGCCATCTAAACCTGTGTTTAAAAACCTCCAAAGGAGGAGAGCCCACCGCCTCGCGAGGAAAGCCTGTTCCACTGAAGAAAAACCGCTCTGTCAGGGATTTCTTCCGAATGTTTAGCCGAAAATTGTTTCTCAAGTGGTCTTCTTGGCAACTGAGCCTCAGGAGGGAAAAGCCCGTGTCTGCTCATACAGACACAGAAAGGCTGTGGGAAGCAGCCAAGGGATCCAGGGCTCTGTTTGGACAGATCTGAAGATGTATACGCTCCCGCTGACCTGGATAGCCCAGGCTAGCCCGATGTTGTCAGGTCTCGGAAGCTGAGCAGGGGTGGCCCTGGTTAGTACTTTGATGGGAGACCCCCGAGGAGTCTGGGGCAGCCATGCAGAGGAAGAAGAAGAAGAGAAGGGATTGGATTTATATACCCTGCCCTTCACTACCCAAAGGAGTCTCAGAGCGGCTTACAAACTCCTTTCCCTCCCCCTCCCCACAACAGACACCCTGTGAGGTAAAAGAAGAAGAAGAAGAAGAGAGAGAAGAAGAGATTGGATTTATACCCCGCCCTTCACTACCCAAAGGAGTCTCAGAGCGGCTTACAAACTCCTTTCCATCCCCTTCCCCACAACAGACACCCTGTGAGGTAGAAGAAGAAGAAGAGATTGGATTTATACCCCGCCCTTCACTACCCAAAGGAGTCTCAGAGCGGCTTACAAACTCCTTTCCCTCCCCCTCCCCACAACAGACACCCTGTGAGGTAAAAGAAGAAGAAGAAGAAGAGATTGGATTTATATCCTGCCCTTCACTACCCAAAGGAGTCTCAGAGCGGCTTACAAACTCCTTTCCCTCCCCCTCCCCACAACAGACACCCTGTGAGGTAGAAGAAGAAGAAGAAGAAGAGATTGGATTTATACCCCGCCCTTCACTACCCAAAGGAGTCTCAGAGCGGCTTACAAACTCCTTTCCCTCCCCCTCCCCACAACAGACACCCTGTGAGGTAAAAGAAGAAGAAGAAGAAGAGATTGGATTTATATCCTGCCCTTCACTACCCAAAGGAGTCTCAGAGCGGCTTACAAACTCCTTTCCCTCCCCCTCCCCACAACAGACACCCTGTGAGGTGGGTGGGGCTGAGAGAACTCCGACACAAACTGCTCTTTTTCAAGGACAGCTGTGCCAGAGCTTGCGAGTTGCGACTGACCCAAGGTCACACCAGCAGGTGCAAGTGGAGGAGTGGGGACTCAAACCCGGTTCTCCCAGATTAGAGTCCGCACACTTAACCACTACACCAAACTGGGAAGGCAGTGACAAACCACCTCTGTTCCTCTTGTGCCTTGAAAGCCCTCCTCCTACAGGGTCGCCAAGAGTCAGATGTGACTTGGGCCACACTTTCCGCCACCAAAGATACGCCTTTAGTTTTCCTCACTTGCCAGAAGAGGGCAGCAAAGCTCCGTGGAGTCAAGGAAGTCCTAAAGTCAACCTGCGTGCAGAACTTGCCTCTGTACTACTGGAGCTTGATTCCAAGAATCTGCTGCGTGTTCCATCTAGCTCACGGCCACGTACCTGTATTCTGGTATCTCTGTCTGCAGCCTTAACTAGCAAGAGAGGCCTTTCTTTGGGTCTGATATAAAGGTTTTGACCAAGTGGCAAAGTACAGCCTTGGCTTTCCTATTCGGGAGAATGGAAACCTGGCCTCCCCTCACTTGAACGAAGGTCAGAGGAAGGGCTCTGTGAACGTGATGAGGCTGTGAACGTGATGATCTTTGCCACTTGAAGAATGAAGCTCAACAGCGCAGCACTGCCAAAAGCCCTAATTTCACGAAGGAACACTACAGGCAACCTGCTATTAAGACCTGTTAAACTTCAGGGAGGGGCTCTATAATTAGGAAGCTGTGGTTTTTTGAGTGCCCTGATTTTAAAATGGGGAAACCTACAGAATCTTTCACATTTGATTTTTTTTTTCTGTAAAGGGGATGGGGCGGGCGGGCAAAATGGGATGAAAGCTGCCCCCCAAAGCGGAGGGACGTTTCACTGAAGCAGAGTTTGTCTCTGAGTAAATGTGCCTGCTAGTCGGATGTGGGTAATCCACTTCGACTCACTTAGGCATATCATAAACGGCTAGCACTAAGCTGGCGAGGGGGGGGCTTCTGGAGTTTTGGCCCCGCTAGTGGACCTCCCGATGGCACCTGGGTTTTGGCCACTGTGTGAGACAGAGTATTGGATTGGATGGGCCATTGGCATAGAATCATAGAGTTTGGGAGAGACCTCCAGGGTCGTCTAGTCCAACCCCCTGCACAATGCAAGAAATTCACAAATACCTCCTCCCCCCCCCCAACACACACAGTGACCTCTGTTCCATGCCCAGAAGATTAAAAAAATCCTCCAGGATCCCCAGCCAAACTGGCCTGGAGAAAAAGTGCTTCCTGACCCCAAAGTGGCGATCAGCATTTCCCTGGGTGTGTAAGAAAGGGCCACAAAAGAACTAAGCACTGAGGCAACCCTTCCTGCCCTCCCTCTCATGCTCTGCCTAAGTTCACAGAATCGGCATTGCTGTCAGCCATTCAGCCACTGTTTAAAAATCTCCAGAGAAGGAGAGCCCACCACCTCCCGAGGGTGCCTGATCCACCATGGCTTTTCTCTTATGTTCTTATGTTCTGCTATTTAAAGGGAAACTGGCTGCCTTGAACAGTTTGGAGCGGAGGTTGTTTCCCTTGCCCTTCGTCCAGTTTGGGCGCGACAGTTAATGAGAGGCTTGTCACCTTTTCAGGAGATGAAAACAGGCCCGACGGGGGGAAAGAGAGCGGTCCGAAGAGCCGAAGTGAAAGCTCTGGCCGTGGTCCCGGAGATGGAGGCAGCAGAGACCATTGGCAAGATTCGGATAGGTCTGTGTGTGCACCGCATTGAACTGTGGAATGTTACTAGGGCACCAGTGTTCCCTCTAAGCTGAGTTAGTGTGAGCTAGCTCCCAGTTTTTGAGCCTCCGGCTCACACATTTGTGTCTTAGCTCAGGAAGGAAGGCTCCAGAGCAAGCTAATGTATGCAGTAGCCGAATCGCTTGCTCACAACTTTAATGCCAGTCACTCACAAAGTAGAATTTTTGCTCACAAGACTCCACAGCTTAGAGGGAGCATTGTAGGGCACCCATTTTCCTGCATGTGTGTTCGTTTTCATAATCAGCCACTCAGTCTTTAGGCAGGAAGGTTAATTTTTTTTGGGGGGGGGGAGAGACAGCTAAAAGGCACGGAGGGCGGGACAGTATAAATCAACATAGAACAGCAGGAAATGTCACACACCTGACCTTTAGCGTTATCAAGCGATGCGCTCTGTCGCTGTCCGTGACATCTCGGGTTCTGGGCCGTGCAGACGGATGTGTCTTCAGCTGGTGTGTGGTTTGCCCCGCGTTGTGCTCCAGCGTCCTCCGCGGGGCTGTTTTCCTGTATGACTCTCATGCTCCGCGTGCTGCTTCTTTAACCGAGTAGCCCTGACTTTTCCAGGAAAGAAAGCAAGGATCACGACTCCGGATCTCCGTCTGAGCCAAAGATGTTTGAAGAGAACCCTGTCCCTGTAAGTGCCGGATCGCCTTCTCGCAGGCCGTTGTGGCCGAATGGTGTACCTGTGGTGAACTAGGGGTCGAGTGGGTGGTCTGAAATGAAGTCCGGGTTCGCTTCCCTTTTTCTAAGTTCTGACATCTCTCCAGTCATGAACACATGAAGCTGCCTTTATACTGAATCAGACCACTGGTCCGGCGAGGTCAGTGTTGCCTACTCAGACTGGCAGCAGCTCTCCAGGGTCTCAGGCAGAGAGGTCTTTCACATCACCCACTACGACCTGATCCTTTTAGTTGGGAGATGCCTGGGATTGAACCTGGGACCTTCTGCGTGCCACGTGGAGCAAAATGAACGAGAAGCCCGGCTTTGATCATACGGTGCCCCCCCTCTGAAGTCTTCTAGAGCCTGTGGTGAACTCCACAGGCACAAATCTGCTTGGTGTGGTGACCCATCTAGGGCCAGCCCAAGGCTTTTTGGGACGAGAGGCAAACGATGACGTTGGGCTCTTTCACATTCTGATGTTGTTCATCACTTGTGTGTTCCTGTTGCTTCAAGGTCCCCCCCCCCCCCAATGTGTTTTGCTCTCTCTAGTAGTCCCAGAGGGAGCAAAACACGCAGAAAAGGGGGGATGGGGCGGGACCCAAAGCAATAGGGACAAACGGGTGACAAAAATGAGAATGCGGAAGGGCCCCGTGTCACCCGTGGGGTCCAGCACTGCATCTTCCATAGTGGTGAACGATGTTGTTGAGAAACCCACTAATGTCGAGCGTTCCGTTTCTTCCTCCTTCCAGCTACTACCATAAAGTTACTACTTGCTGGACACACACACACTCCCTCTTTCTCTCTTTCTCTGGCAAAGGGAGGTGGAAGGCGGGAATGTGAGATATTGACAAGGAAGACGCGAAGAGAGAAAAAATATGCAAAGGGGCAGGAGCGGCCATTGGGGAGGGCTGGCCCATGACCCACTTTCAGGGGCTTCATGACCCACTTCTGGGCCCTGACCCACAGGTTGGGAAGCACTATTCTAGAGAACATGACCTCCAGGGAAGCAGGGCTCTGTCTTTATTCCACGCTTCCAAATGAGTTTATTTTTCCTTAGCTGCTGTTAACGTTTTGGACACCGCTGCAGTGGTTTCTGTTAGCCAGGGAATGGGGAAGACCCACCCCCTCCTTTACTAGCACCAGCATCCCACCCAGTGCCTGGTTAGCACCGAAGAGGTGATGTAGCTGTGATGTAACAGAAGGATCACGTTGCTGTGTGGTCGTTACCCAGCTCATGGAGGGCGGTGGTCCCCCACTGGGTGCCATGGTGACCGCCAATCGGTGCCCAGGATGCCTCTCCTCCCCAAAGCGAAGAGCCAATCCCAGCTTTCCTTCTCATTGGAGAAGGTGAACCCAGAAACGACTGACTTCATAGTAGGAGGAGGAGTCTTGGCTCCTCCCAGCCCTGGATTAACAGTAAGCAGCGTGCTTACAGCACCAAGGGAGGGGGGGGCACCACAGCGTCCTCCCTCCCACTATCACACCCCTTAACTCTTTCACTGCCACACTCCACTTTAGTTGAATTTTTTGTCATTGTCCTTATCTGCCGTGTTCAACTTCAGAGGCGTCGTCCAATGCCACATTTGTTTGCATCTCGTGGTGTGAGAGTTTTGCTCCTGTCTTATCCGTTAAGCAATGGAAGGGCCAAGGGGACACCATTGTTGGGCTGCACTTAGGGCATCCGTTGGCCTGAATCCAGCCATGGCTCCTCCCCAGTTTGTTCTTGAGTCCAGTACCTTGCGGCAGCCATGTTGTGCTTGGGCCAAGCCCCCCACGGCAGCCATTTTGTTGTGGCACCCATCTCCCGTTGTGAGAATTCGGCTCAGCAAGAAGGACCCCTGCAGTAGGGATCCAGGTACACCGTTTCCAAACCCCGAGCAGCATATGGAAGAGCTGGTCCCTGCTACATTTTGTCCATGTTTCATGGCAATGCACGTAACTTCCCCAGGTTTGCTCCTTAGGAGGGTTTATGGGTAGGAGATTGCAGTGGCCACCTGGAATCCACAGTGCAGGACTTGAAAGACCGGTTGTGTCCAAATAAGGCAGGTTCACGTAGTCAGTACACGCTTGTACTTACAGAGGGCAGCTGATTTGCCGTTAGAAGAAAAGTGCTAGGGTAGAGCCGTTGGATTTGCGGTTTGGCAAAGCGTGTGAGAAATCTCAGCCAGGATGACATCATGGGACCCTTGTCTTTATTTATCTTGCACCCCACCCCATAAAAATAGTCACCCCCTTTTAAAAAAAAAATCTGTGCAACAGTACTGTTAGGGTAAGGTTAAGCTGCAACACTGTCAGTTCCAAGGGAAGGCCAGTGAACTTCATGGCAAAGTGGAGGGTTTGAAAGCCCAGCTGTCCATCTTCTGAACACCATCTGTGACACTGCTCTAGATTTTTTTTTACCAGCCCAGAACGTTAACAAACATCAGCAGTTCTGTGGCCAGCCCTGTCCTCTGCACAGCCTGAAAAACTGTGGCAGCAGGACATGAACCTGTGATGCACACAGCCCTGTTGGCGAAACTGCCGTAGAACAGGGGGTGCCTGGAGCTGCCTTCTGCTGAGTCAAGCACTTGGTCTCTGCAGATCAGTATTGCCAGCTCAGATTGGCAGCAGCTCTCCCAACCTCTCAGGCAGAGGACTTGCCCATCACCGACTACCCGAGCCTTGTAACTGGAGATGTCGGGGACTGAACCTGCAAATTTTGCACACAAAGCTGATGCCCTGCTGCTGAGCCACAGCCCCCCACCCCACCCTTCGTACATTTTCGTGCTTGGTGCGAATGCCGTTTAACATCCCCCTCCCCAACGTGTTTTCTCTTGCAGAAATTTAGCCATGCTAGCAAGTATGCTGCTTTGTCAGTGGATGGCGACGACGAAACCGAGGGAGACGAATACGCCGACTAAATTCTCCAGTCCCTCTATTGCCGTCTCCTAACCGGTTGCCACCCAGGAACATTCGGAGAGCAAAACCAAACCTTTATTCAGACAAGACAGAAAAAAAACAAAAAACAAAATAAAAGCCTACAAGTCAACATCTCCTGGGAGAGACTTTTCTTAAAAACCTTTCTTTTAAAAAACAAAAAGGAATCAAAAAATTGTTAAGTTTCTCTTGCATGCTGCTGCAGCCTTTAAAGTATTGAACTAACTGGAGAAATCCCTGCAAAACAAAAGGAAAAGTGTAGCAAGAGAGGAAAAAACAAAACAGCAGGCGTCTTTTAAACAAAAAGGAATAGGCCCAAGTGTGTGTGAGTGTGTGTCTCTGGGGTGTGGCTTCACGCAGCTTCTGATCACGTCTAAAAGTCCCGGGTTCCTCCCAGTTCAGAGCGAAGGGTTAGTTTATCTTATCCGCAGGCCCAGGTGCATGTGAGGGAACGGATTGGGGAACTGGGCAGCTACGAAATGTCTTTTCCTTTCCCCTTCTCTTGCAACCGGGCTGACTTCTGCAATGTAAATCTGGAACAATCACTTTGAAAGCATTTTATGCACTAAGGAGAGGGGAGAAGAGGAGTACTCTTGTCTTCATGGCTGGAGGGGGGGGGGGAAAGGGGGGTCTGTTTGTGTCCGGGGGGGGGGGGGGGGGGGGCAGCTCTCCAGACAGAGAGGTTGCACCTCTGCGTGAGTATTCACTGAGTTTGGAAGCCTGCCTTTCCCCCTCTCACCAGGAGGAGGGGGAATCCTCAGGTTGCCCACGTTTGTGTCCAAATTCCAGCAGTGGTGTGGGAAGCCCTAAAGCCCAGTGGTACAGTTTTGCTACCGAACACGCCCTTCTCTTTGGAGGCTCGTTTCAAGTCTCTGCGACTCCGGAACGGAGACTGCCAATAACAGCTTCTGCCCAAAGAGCGGCTTTCCGCATAGTTTGACTGAGTGGCGTGGAAACTTCCCAGGGGAGTGAGTTTGCAGTTGGTCCAGCTTATACCGAAAGCCGCTTTCCTGTGCTGCGGGCTCTCCATTCAGAGTCAGTTTGGAGCTGCTTCCCCCCCCCCCCCCCCCCCACGCCGCTCTTTGTCTGTTTTGTAGGAACACAACCCACTGGGCTTAAGGGAAACCAAGGAGCTGAAAAGAGCGGATTTCTGATAGTTAGCGATTGTTTTGGTTGTCGGTGTCTCTTTCTCTCCCTTCGTCCTCTGCGTCACTGAGGTGTTAATGCTACTGCAGTTTTTAAATCACACCCTTTCATCCTTGGGCACTGTTAAAGCTAGCAGAAGTCTGGCATGGGCATCTTTCACAACGGCATCACGGGAGCCGTTCCACTTCTGCCTGTAGTTTGGGTGAACAGAGACGCACCGCGTGGCTTACTAATCCCTTCCGGCCCTTCAGTAAACGGGATGACTTTTGAGAAGCCCCTTTGACCCTGAGGTGTGTTGTTTTTGGTTTTGTTTTTTGAGGACCATCTCCGTCGCCAGCATTTATCACCAGTCGCAGACTTCCTAGGGACAGGATTCTGTTCCCTTTTCTGTCTTTGCGGGTCTTGTTCTTTTCCGCCTCCCGTCTCGAGGGCCGGGTAAGGCTGGGAGAATCTTTCCACAGTGGCGCAGGGTTTCTAAATAGCCAGCTCTCAAATCCAGGGAAAGGTGCAGTAGAATGGGATGGGCTCGCTTCACTAGGGGTGCGCATAAATGTGCTCGCCGTGAAGCATTTACACATAGTTTGGGGGGGGGGGATGTCACAGTGCCAGTCAGGTCCGTTTTTGAAACAAGCCCGGCTGCATCGGATGCTGGATTAGGCAGGTTTTAGGAAGCTGCGATGGCTGGTGACTTTGTATCAGTGATTTTTAGCGACCGCTTGAACTGGTCCCTCAAAAGCAAAATAGTAGTGGTGTGTCCACGGGGGCAGGACGTAGGAGCTGTGTTGGAGAGGGGTGGGGAGCGGGACCTCGCCGGGAGCAGAGAGGGATTTGAAATGGAACATTGCTGTGACATGCTGGGGGGGGAGCTATATTTGAGGTAGTGAATTGCTGATTTTGCATACCCCTAAAGAAAATTATCTTCCCCTGTTCCCCTCTTGCGTGCACGATCTCTCTCTCTCTGCTATAGGAACAGGTTCACAAACTGATTTGAGTTGCATTTTACACATTCTGAAGACATGTAAAATTTGTACAAAATATCTTCTATGAAAAAAATGATTTGTAATCTGTGTGGACTTCCTGGGAGATGTCTTTTATTATGTAAAATTCCCTCCCCTCCCCTCTTGGTTTCTTCTCTTCCCCCCCCCCCCCGTCCATTTTAAAATAATGCTCCCATGCCAGTATCCTTTACGGAGGGGATCGGATCTTGTCAACAGAAACGGGCAGATTCCTTTGCTTTCTGCAATAAAGTCCTGCAAATGCCCATTCCTTTCAAGCTGTGTCCTGGAGAAACCTGGGGCTCCTCAATGAGAAGTTGAAGTGGTGGTCAAAGTTCCCTGAAAACAATAATAATAAAATAACCACATGTTGCCCACCCCTAGTGACCTTCTCTTGCTTTTTATAGCAAAAGGAGAATGTGTGATGTACCCTGTTACATTCTTGATTTGAAGCATGTCATACCCAAGTAGGTAATTCTTACAACATCCCTCTAAGGTAGCCTACTGTTATCCCTGCATCAAAGATCCCGGCAGAGGTGGGGTTGTGGGCAGTGTTCCCTCTAAGCTGAGTTAGTGTGAGCTAGCTCACAGTTTTTTAGCCTCCGGCTCACACATTTTTGTCTTTGCCCAGGAAGGATGCCTCCAGAGCAAACTAATGTATGCAGCAGCCAAATCGCTCGCTCACAACTTTGATGCCACTAGATAACAAAGTAGATTTTTTTGCTGATAAGATTCCACAGCTTAGATGGAACATTGGTTGTGGGTGAAAGAAAAGGTGCTTCAGCCTCAGTCCATGTGGCGTTTGTGGCCCAGGCGGAACTGAAACCCCCAGCATGTGTATGAGCTCCATATTTCATTCTGTCTTATCTCACCCCAACCATCAATGTATGTGTCATTCTGGCTGCAGGACTTCGATGAGTCGCCATGGATCTGTGCAAGGGAACTTCCAATAGTAGTGATAGCAAAATCATAAGTTTCCTTCAAGAGCCTCAACTCTGCTTTCCGTGGGTGTGCAGGAAAGCTGTAATCCAGTTTGAGCAGGCTCTGAATCCTGGGATTGCAGGAGTTTTTAAACAAAAACAGTTGTATAGATCCTTTCCGTCACTGAGTTTACTTGCAGGCCCACGTGCGTGTGTTGCGCAATAACAAAGCACACGCAGTCCTATCATGAAAACCTGCCCCTTGCATGCCTGGACTGCTTTGCCTAGAGATGTACTTCAGTTGGCTTTTTAGGTGTACAAAACCGCGGCAGGGTGTTGAATCTGAGGAAGCTGTGGACCTCAACATCGGCATAGCTCTCCATTCTTCCTGTACAAGAGATCTTCCTGGTGGAGTGAACCCAGTGAGCTGGCTCTAGGCATCTCTCACATCTTCACAGCACACAATACATGGCCCATATTGACCACTTGCCAAGAAGCTCAGCCCTGAGCTGTATTAGAATCATAGAGTTGGAAGGGGCCATAAAGACCATCTAGTCCAGCCTAAAGCATCTCCGACAAATATTCGTCCAGCCTCTTCTTGAAAGCTGTCAGTAAAGGGGAACTCACCACCTCTCTCTGGCCCAGGCTAGCCAGATCTTGGAAGCTAAGCTTGGCCCCGGTTAATATTTGGATGGGAGACCCCCTCTAATTTCAACATCAGGAAGTAGCAAAACAAACACGAATGCGGTTGGTCTCTTCAAAACCCAATTTTTTAAACAATTCTCTTTTGGGGCCCTTTGGAATTCGAGTTGCCAACCCCCCAATGGGGGTGGGTTTCCCCCCAATTTTCGGGGCCACAATCCACAGCTAGCTGGCTGGCGGGGAGCCCTGCCCCCCAAGAGCTCCACCACACCTAACTTGCCCAGCGTGATGACATCACCCAGGAATTCCAGGGTCACGAACTCACGATGCAGAGGTAAGCAATAGCAGACCTCTGAATGTCTTGCCTTGAAAACCCTACAGGGTTGCCATAATTCAGATGCAGCTTGATGGCACTTTATGCACCTGAAGTGCTACTGCTTGCTCAAAGACACCCTGGCAGCTTGGCCCTTTAGTAGTAGTGCTCGTTAACCTGTCGCTGATAGCTCTTGCAAAAGCACGGCTGGCTGTACCAGTGTTTTGTTACCGAAAGTGTGTTCTGCCAACTGCTTTCGGGGTTTTTCCCAGTCCTGGGCTTTGGCAAGGGGAAAGATGCGTGCAGAATTAGTAATGACGCCTACGCACCTCTTAAAAGGCAGGATTGCCCAATGACCCGTTTCTAATTATTTTGCTTTCCCCTCCAAGTGACTTTTGAGCCATTTGTTTTGCAAGGACCTTGCTGCCAGCCCTGCTGCTTGGTTACCCTCCAGGGTTTGGATTGATACGTGTGGCTGAGTCAGACATTCAACTCGGTAGCCCTTAAAGGCCCAGCACTGAAAGGCACAACGAATCATCTTGCTTAGAAGAACTGACGTAGCCTGCCACAGGAGTGTGCAAAACATTTCATATAGCTGACCTAAATGATGTTCACAACAACCTTGGCAAGTCGGCCAGTATCCCATAGCAGAGATGGAGGATTGCTAGTGTGAAGCATGCTTATAGTCTCTTGGCAAGCACTTGACAAAAGAGATCTGTACCAAAGATTTGGGATTGGGCCCTATACACCCATTCTGCTAATCTTCCTTTGATAGAAGAGCTTTCCCATTAGTGAGGAGAACCAGTAGGTGTACTGGCTGGAATGTTAGGGTTGTTATTATCGTACGGCATTGCGTGTAGAATAATTGCCAGGAGATCCTAAGATTGTCTGGCAGGCAGAAGTTCTAGCTCTCTTAGTGTTATGTACCACTAGGTGGTGAGCTAGATTTGTTTCTAAGGCAAGAGAGACCTTTCAGAGGGAGTTTGCTATTGCCTGCCTCTGCCTCACAGCCCTGGTATTCCTTGGAGATCACCCTTCCAAATACTAGCCAAGGCTGACCCTGCTTAGCTTCCGAGATCTGATGGGATTGGGCTAGCCAGGTCAGGGCACAGACTTAGAAGACACAGGTTCAGAGCCCCATTCTGACCTTGAGACAGTCACTTTCAGCCTCAAGTGGCTCAAGTGGTTAAGACGCTGAATTGCAGGCTGTGGAAGGTCGGTAGTTCAGCAGTTCGAGACCCGAGTGCCGCATGACGGAGTG